CGGTTCTTTTCTCAATGTGTATCCTATCCACTTCCATCGCTTCTTCCTGATTTCTTTCTCCAATGGGATCTGGTTTGTTCTCTCCCACAATAGGTTGTTGCTGATAGTGTCTGGCCGACGGATCCGAAATATTTTTCGTAGGCAACTATCAATAAACACGTGTATCTTCTGGATGATGGGTTTCGTAGTTCTCCAGGTTTCCACTCCATACAATAGAACTGTCTTGACATGTGTATTGAAAATTCTGACCTTAGTATTGGTTGAGAGTTGTTTTGAGTTGGAGATATTCTTTAGTTGTATATATGTTGCTATTGCTTTTCCGATCTGCGCTTTCATATGTGCATCAGATCCACCATGTTCATCAATGATGCTGCCCAGATATGTAAATGTTTTTACATCTTTCAAATTTTCTCCGTCAATTGTGATTGGATTGTTGCATGCCGTGTTGTATCGTGTTTTTTTCTGGTTAATTAATAAATAGAATGGAACATTTTTTATGAAGTTGAATGAAAAGCTTTTACTTATTCTCTTAAATTGAATCAATTCAAATTGCCGGTCATTATTATTGTATTGTAAAAAGATCAAAGAAATATCTCTAATATAAAATACAAAACTTGTAAATCTCATAATATGTTTTATTGATAACTTGATTTGGTGATAATATGCTTGACTTAACAATGTTTAAATCTTCCCTTAAATATAACTATTTCTTAACAAGTTCCAAGATTGTTAATGAAATGAACAAATTTTCCGAGAGTTCATCTTAAGAAGCAATTTCATTAATACTGGCTCATAAGTTACTGTTGAAATGAAGCCATACGAACTAGGCACAGAATCCATAACATTTTAAACCAAATTATTTGCTATATCTTGGCAGTTTAAATCTAAAACAGTGAAACCGTAGTCATTTTATTTCTTTTTTACGAGAAACGCATGTGTGTAGGATTAGTTTCCCAAAAAATTGTTTTTTGAAACAAATGAGCCAGATATAGTGTAAGGACACATACAGTTTACGTCTAAATCTCCTGGTTAATCATGATGTGTTCATAAGAAGAATAAATAAATACTCTATGAATACTTTATATAATTGATAGTTCACTAATCAACATTATCAACCTGTACAAATGATACCATTGGAGTTACAAAATAACAATTGACCTGAATTGTTTGTTGTGTGACCGTGAGTTATTGGAGAGCCATATATAAGAATCAAGTAGATGTATGATTAAACAACAGTTATCTGATTATGATCTTCTCTAACTTTGAAAAAGTTACATTTAGGGAAGAGACCTACAAATAAATATATTCATACATATGATTGTAAAGTACACCAACGGTTGAATCCTATGTTTATACATATTATAATAAACACAATGAAAACAGGCTAGATTAGCTTTCATTACAAGTTAAAGGCCATTTTAAAGGAAGTGATATTGGTTTAATTAGCGTAGTAGGGTGATTAATGTCACTTAAATAGTTATCACCCGGAAACAAAAGCTTTTTACATGAAATGATAGATTACATTAATACATAAATTATAATTTTAAAAAATCTACTGATAGAATGCTTAAAAAACAAGTTGCCTTTGAGTGTATACAAAGGAAATACTTAAAATACATTATTCCCTTCAGACTTAATTGAATAGACCGGAAATAATACTGGTCTTTACAACTTGTTAAATGATTTTATGATGTGATAAATATAGGCCTATAGGTTCTACTGGTCTTGAAGTGACGTTTTTTGATATCCCCTTGCAATTATACCAGAAAAATTTGTCATACAGTGATATAAACATTAGTACTAATGCTTAGTTGGTTTTTATAAACGTATGATGTTTGAAAAAAGACACCATTTCCATAAAGAGTGATGAATGAGACAATTTATTGAAACACTATGACTCATAATTTTCAGTTAAATGGCACATTTATGTGCGTATCGATGGATTAGATGAGGTCTAATATATTAGGGACAAATAAAGTTGGAATCTGAGTTACTAATGATAACTACGGATGATCATTACTTTACATCAGTCAGGGAGAAATCGGCTTATTCAAAGATGCTTCATTAACATAGTAAGGTGTCATCTCGTCTGCTGTCCTCAAATATATAAAAATTGGCCTTTACAGATGATGAGCTCCCATAATTCTAAAGTTTTATCTACAATGTTATCGTTAGATATGATTTAATAAAATTAATATCTACCATGAACAGTAGGCACTTGCTCTTAGATCTTTCAAATGAAGTTCAGAAATTTGAAGTTGGTTGTTTGAAGAAGTTATACTTAAGTTATCTGGTTATTGAATGTTTTGTTGAATAGACAAATTTATGAAATCTAGGCTACTCGATAAGAGTAGATTTCAGTTACATCATTTAGAGAATTTTAAAAATACTGCAGAGCTAAACATTGCATTTCCTTTTATGTTAGTATAAACCTGTTCAAATAGAGCGCTTCTCTTTACGATCTATCGATTAGGGAAGATGTATTAATTAAAGATACCGTATTTCATATTACATAAGCTTAATAAACACCAGAATAATTCACAAACAATTTGCTAGTTGCGTAATACGTTAGTCCACTTAAATTTGAAGTGTTGCCTGAAGCTATTGTATTCAATATTCACTTAAGATTCTTGCTATCTTGATCACGTTTAATAATCACCCTGCTTCACTACTTATTTGAATTCGCTTTGTTTGACAACCATTTTATAACTGTAATAATTCAAACATGAAAGTCTACCACGAGATTCAAAGCATTTGTTTTGAACAGAAGCAGCGAAGAATAATTCAGGGCTACAGAAATGTAAGCATTTTGATCTTGCTTATAAAATACATATTGTATAATTATACAATAGACTAAGTAATACTTTTGTTTAGATAAGTCTATTGAAAACTTTTTTGGTAAACATATTTCATCCCAAAGATGTATGTTTTAGGGTTTTCCATGAACTTACGCCATCGTTTATTTTCAAATCGATAAATGTTATTTTATACAGATGACATGAAAATTTATTGATTGTAACATGTTTGAGCAACATAGTGTAGTGTCGGTTACTATGTTAAACCCACATAACTTATTCTAGCCAAGCCAATCTATTCATTCTTTATGAGTCACGTTTTGACTTCTCTAATTATCCACTTATCAACACTGTTTTTGTATGAGCGTATGTGTGTGTACATCTTATCTCACTCACCACATGTCTGTAGCTTATTTTGTGTGACTATAAATATTGATTGACGCTTGACTAAATTGAGTTGACTCACATGCCTTCTCCACTGAGCATCATTCCGCTTCGTTCCTCTGATTATCCGTTCAGATCAATCAGTGTACAAAATATACGTATTCAAAAATCCATTCTAGTATTTGACTCATTTAAATCCGTTGTTCACCAACGCAATTTAAGTTGATGATTATATATGAGGATAGACGACAATAAGAAAAACATATCATTTATAATGTATATACATGGTAATATACATAAGGCAAAACGTGAAACGTTAAAAGTCAGAAACGATTACTATTTTCATTTAGATCTCATACCGTAGATTGTTGAGAAATACATTAGTATCTTTTGTATATGATTATTTTAACACTGAAACGAACCCACTAGATAGACGATCATGTAGTATTTTTATGACTTTGGTATAATTTGTATCATTATCAATATAAAAAGTTAATGGTCACTGAATACTATCATAACCAAATTAATACATCTCGAAAGTCAGACTCTAAATTTCAATCAAAAATTGAACATAAATGCTTTAGTGATAAACTTTAACAGAGTAATAGATATGAACGACAAAATAAATTTTATTTTATATATGATTGATTGTGAAATTATTTGTACTTTATGTCTATTCCTGTATATCTATTACATAACCTGACCTATGTATTCAAAAGGAGACGGTTGTTAATCTTTCCTTGCCTTGGTGACAAATATTCTTTCACTGCACCTTAAAAAAAATTTTTCTTTTGTATTTATTACATTATTGGTTTTAATTTTTTTCAACTATCTTTCAAATGAATAATCTTTCAACTGAACTCTATTCACTATATTCCTATCAGTGTTTATTCATTATGTAATCAATTGTTTCTAACCCACTTTTGAACTGTGTCACAATTAATGTTGTAGAATATTCTTTCACATTAGGTATATATTTACAATAGTCAGTCTATTAATTTCATTTATACACATAATATACTTTACGAATATTTCTTCAATATAACTCCCAAACAAACCCTCTCATGTAAGCAATTTAAACCCAGTATTGATTGAGATCATGAACCGATTGATGTTAGACCACCACAATTGAAAACCTGGAAGCACTGGATGGCCGTGTCGTCCTATTGTGGGACTCCTCAGCAGTGCGCCTCCACGATCCCGCTCGCGGGATTCGAACCCAGGGCCTTCGGTCTCGCGCGCGAACGCTTAACCGACTGGACCACTGAGCAGGCATCCAATGGTGATAGTGTCTAACATCAACCAATCCACGAAATTGCGCGACCAACTTCCATTTTACTGAGGTAGATACCTGTCTCTACCCGAAAAGGATTAGCTCCACTGATCACGGCTTCTCACTAGAACTCCGAGAATTCCCTCACGAAGCTAGTCACTAGTGAGCACATGCTGATTACTAGTATGGGGGTTGTTGAGATTATTACATTTTTGATTGAGATCATGAACCGATTGATGATGATCTCAATCAAAAATGTAATAATCTCAACAACCCCCATACTAGTAAACCCATTATGTAATTATGATTTTTAAATATCACAGGTTGTAAGCAGCTGACGAGAACCTACGAAATAAAATGAATTCATGCTATTATTCGTGAATCTTTGTTCTTGCTCTTTTCAATATAAAATAAACTCTTAAAAAGTGTTAAAAATCTGGTGGTTATGTTGTTCACCTATTAAGATTATATTTGGTTCACAATGGACTATTGATTATCCCAAATGAATAATTAATAATTATCTTATTATTATTATTATTTTATTTTAGATTGTTGAAATCTGTAATTTTCTGGTGATATTATCTTATCCAGCAAATTTTTTTGTATATTTGGCTATGTCAAGACAATTTAAAAATACCTTCTGGAAAATATTCTATCAATTACGTCGTAATAGTAATCATAATAATCGTACTACTATTGAACAATGAAATTATAAATTTCAATGTCAGTTCATTTGAATATGGGACTCATTATTGTTCATTTTAAATTGAATAAAAAGATGTTTTTGCTTTGTATTTGTTTTCTTGCCATTATTAACAGTAAATGAATAAAACATTTTTACATAATCTTGTTTATCTTCTCATCAGAACATAATATTTAATATATAGTTCAAATGAATTATTATTAACTTTCCTCCTAATTTCATTTGTATACATTGAATAAAGCTATTTGTATTGACTTGTTTTGATTTATAATATTATGACAAATTGAATTGTATAATACCAATTGTTTACTTCAATAGGCTATATAAGATAATTAACAGATTTGTGTTTGGCTATAGATACTAGTGTGGTGTGTGATACTGATAGTAATATGTATGATTAATCAAAAGTGAAATGCCTAGAGGTAGAAGGTTAAAAAGATTAAAGAAAAGAGAACGAGAACAAAGAATGATTGGTGTAGAAATGAGAGAACAATAAAGTTTGAGACGATTGATTGATATTTTGCAAATGAAGTATTTACTGTATGATTCTCAGATTTTACTAAGATATTCTGTAATTTTGTATTCAAATACATTTGATTGTCCCTACTTTTGTTCTGATCCACTACACTAGAAATAAATATAGCTAATGAGTCTTGTCCAAAAAAAACAAAATATTTGAAAACAATCAAAATGTGTTACTATTAATGATATTCTTATTTTGACCATATGAATGAAACAGATGCTATTTTTTGAAGAATATGATACAATGTAAAAGTAACGAAATGCTTATACACTGACATATAACTCTTTCAGATAGCTAAACATTCTATTTACATAGCACGGTTGGTTTATTTAATATCTCATTTACAGAACTAATATCTAAATTGATATACTTACGACTACAGAAGAATATCAATCTTAGGGGTTGTATACTAATAATTGCAAATCCGTATCTCTAATGTTTAGATTAAAAAAAAATTAAGATTGTATGAAGTTTTCTTTCTTAAATAACTGGAATGTTAATTTCATATATAGTGGTTAGTGTTTGATATATGAGCTATTTCCGAAAGAGATGATAAATAGAAAAGTTATTAACCAAATTTAGTCCTAGAATAAAATCATCCAATGTTATAAGCAGATTTGATTTGAATATCGGTATCCTGATAATAAGCTCCTTGATATTCTCAACAACAAAAAAAGAAATATAAACAAAACATTGTCTTTTTTATGAAGGATATTTTACTACCTGCTACTAGCAAAATAACTGGATTATCACTAGTTGATCAGACTGATTTGATGCGTTCGCCGTTAAGTCTGTCGACTAATTTGTAGTATGCTGTAAACCTATGGATGTGCATTGTAAATAATGGACTGTAAATGAGTATCATTGTTTGGTCATCAAACTTTTAAATCATTAAATATATTTAATAAAGATACCGCGATTTATTCTGAGCATATTATGCAATCCTAAGTATCTGTTACATTACATTTTAAATTAAGCGTAATTAATATGATACCTTAACAATCATCGATTTCATCCATATTAAAAACGCAAAGCACAGTTAATGTAGAAATAAATCCTATTTTTAATTATTGGTGAATACAATCTCTGCCATAGAAATCATTACTATCTCTTGAGATAGTGAGAGGTTATTATTTGTAAACTTGAATAAGTGCATGTTCAGTTCAGTTGTGTTTCTAATTCTGCCGAAGAAGAGATTGAAGAAATAAGTTAATATGGTAGATAGCTAGTATACAATAATTATTTTAGCCTCTTATTAAATTCTTACTTCATAGCTTAAGCAGGGAATACACTAGTAATGCTACTGACAGCTACTGACTACTTAGACGTGCTGAGGAGTCCTAAGAAGAATATTAGGATAAAATATGAATTTTGTAAATTCCAAATTAACACGATGAACAAAAAGATTTAGTCGAAAAACGAAAGTTCTGTTATTTCAGAACATATGTAGAAACATGTGAATTTAAGGAAAACAAAAACTCTCCACAATTGAAAGATATCACTGTAGGCAATTTTCATAATCCACTGATCAGTAACATATGTTAAGAAATTAATTAGAGTAAAAGTCAACCCTCGAACTACGACTGAGGATTTAAATGAGTATTGTGTTTAAATTTCCTACCATTCAAAACAAGTGACCTACTCCATACTTATTTAAAAACATTTCAACTGTCACCAGTATGTATCATTAGCTAATGAGTGAGACTAACTTTGGATAATAAAATTGTCTATAAAGTCACATGGAAATGGTATTGGAACAAACGATTAATATTCACCTGTTAAAGCTTTGCAATTATGAGATTAAACAACAGAATACTTCCGATGTAGATAGTTTATTCAAGAATTTATAGAAACAGATTTTCACAGTAATAAGTGGTTTATTAAATACTTCACAAAATAAAATAATAATAACTAATAAAAACCTAGATATATAGAATATGAGCTTGAACTAAATGTAATCAATCTTCAAGAGTTAAGGCTACTAGTGTTGAAATTCTGAAGATTATATATATATATATATATGCGTCTGGGAATAGAGGAGGGTTGTTCGGGTCACTACTAAATATAGACACAGTCATCGCTGACGTGCTACCTGGCGTTCAGCATCTCGAACTCAAACTGGTCACATCCTTGTGAGCTACCGCTGGCGTGTTTGTGTACAAGACTGCCTCCCCTTTCGGAGTATTTGTCTGAACTCTGATCGTACAACTGTTTGCCCTAATCTTATGTTTTAGTGGCCAACAAATTGAACGCCCTAAGCAGACCGTTGACAGTAAGCTGGTAGCAGTATCTGTTGTGAACAAATATCAAACCAACCTAAGTTTAAGGCTAGCTACCATCCCACAGAAAAGTACAGACGAGCATTGGTTGCAATTGCATAAGGTCATAAAAATGACGAGTTGAGCCGCTTGTGGATTCACAAAACGTCCCGCTTATAAGCACTAGGTTTATTCAGACTCCTTACAACTCAATAAAGCCCCTAGGTCTACTCCGAGTGACTGCGAGTCTGACAACAAACGAAGAATGTTACGTAATGAATTTGGGCAAATCTTGTGTAAGGACTGAGAAGCCTGGTGGTCAGAGCGTGCAAACAAGTCGGAAGCAGAAGCTGCATCTGGTAACTGTCGAAAGCTCTTTCAACTCATCCGGTTCACTGACAGCAAGAAGACTGGTGTGAGTGAAACAATCTGTAAGGTTGATAGCATTGCAATCAAAATATTTACCAATGGCTTGGACGATGGGCAAAGTTTTTCAAGTAGCAGTCTAATTGGTCTGCTGCACTGGCAACGTCGATTAGACTGTGCTATCCTCCATGGCTTTTGACGACTGACCCAACAAACGAGACGGAAGTCCGCAAGGAACTCCAACTCTTGAAACTCTACGAGTCACCAGGTCCAGACGATTTACCTCCGACCCTTTTTAAGGATGGTGGTGGCCTTCTGGTTAAGCAACTGACTGAGTTGTTCTCAAAGGTTTAGCAGTTAGAGAATGTTCCAATATCATGGTTTGAGTAGATAGTTGTTTCTATCTTTAAAAAGCATTCACGTCGTCTACTCAATAACTATCTGGGATAAGTCTACTTCTGACTACGTCCAAACTATTGGCTTCTACTTCGTAGACTGTTCAAAATCCGAGAAAGGTTGACTCAGGAGGAGACTAGTTTTCATTCTGGTTGATAATGTAATGATAATATATTCACCCTTCGCCAAATGTTAGGACACTGTCATATATATTATCGGGCTTGGTTGAAAGAAGTCGAAAGTGAGTCTATGAGAAACCCTGCAATGAAGCACTTCGTGAACAAGGTTCATTCACTCAAAACAGACTCAGCACTCAAACCATCTACAAAGCAAATAAAAGCTCACCATACAGTTTGCTCTCGCTTTCTTAGCTTTCCCGAAGCATTTGCCATGCATTTGAAGAAGCTGTAACAGTAACATATACAATCTTATTTATACCATGTTTTTGTTTTACCTATTTTTCAAATTCATTACTCTCCCTCTAACTTCCTTTAATGGCCTCTGATCATCCACAGACATTTTTCTGTTTCTAATTTTACTCTGATAGCATTTCATATCAACTTCTCAAGTTACGCAACCATTTTTTAGTAAGTACTTATCTTTGTCCATCTTCTTGATCAATATTCAGGCTCCTAACACTTACATTTTCATCTTTTCTTATTTTGGTCAGTAACTCATTTTGTTAACAGATATTTTATCGCTTTTCATTTCCATAGTTTCTAGATCATAAACTTGTCTTAGATCCCCCACTGGAAATCTGGAAACATAAGACGGCTGTTTCATTCTAGTACATGATTCCTCAAGCGCGCGCACACACAAACCTGCATCTGTGAATCAAAACGAAGACTCGTGATATTGCGAGATTATCTCCGATTGCCTGCAGTGGATAACTGTCTGGTTGAACTCGACTAGTCACAGTTTCTCACTTCAAGAGCTGGATCTTCACGACAGCTACTACTGAGCGCTTTATTGCAATTTTTATGAGAAGATTTGTGGAGATTCTAGAATCTCCGTAATTTAAATCAAAAACTTACCTTAGTTAGACCACCACCGAAAAACTGAAAGCACTGGTCTCGAGTTCCGGATATGAGACGTCTCACATTAGGATAAAGAGACTATTCTTCGTTCCCAGGTTTCCAATAGTGGCTTAAATTTGGTCAGTTTGTGATTTTTTGAGAAAACGTAAACATCTGGAACAGAATAACTCGGACCCTTACAAAAATTATTCCAACTTCTCGTCAGAACTAATTTGAAATTGTTCTGATTACATATACTTCAGATCATGAGATTTTTGTTCCTAGGAAGTAATTTTTAGAAATAAAAATGGGCTTTCCATTTTTATACATGACATTAGTTACACAGTAGCAGTAATTCAAACTATACTAAAATGAAAAAAAACTTCAAAGTTAACAGTAAAAGAAACAAAGTTAATATAAGCATAATTTATTTTATTTATCAGAATTAGCATCTGTAAGGAAATTGTGAACAAAATCAAATTCAAAAATTGGAACTTCTTTGAAGTGTTTTTACCGAAATAATTCATTCATTCTTCTAGGATAATCAAATCAAATTCTTTAGGAATATTTTGAAAAAGATCTATGATTTATGATTATCCTAATAGAATACAATAGAAAATTTTAAAAGAACTAAAACATATCAAATAGATGCTAATTCATTAACTATTTGGTTCATTTAAACATAACCGATAATTGGTATTTGACATCAGAAGCTGAATTATCAAAAATAATAATATAATATATAATAAGGTTTTAATTTCGCTATTTATTATATTCAGGATATTGAATAATTAAAGTTTGTTTGGAAATATGTTATTTATAACCGAATTGTATTTGAAATATTCATTCATTTATTAACCTGTCAAATAGATTCTATGTTAAAATGAACTAGGTCAAAATAATCAGTAGCAATCATGATGATGCGTTAATCAATGACAACCTTAATATAGACTTTACAACTAATTGTAATAATAATAATAAT